GTTGAGTTATTCCGTGATAATCGTTTCCAAATTTTCACTTCGTGATACATGTAAATCATTTCCGATTTATATGTTCGCTTCCGTGATTTATAATTTACTATTTTACAGTACCAAAGATCTGGAATTATTCACAAAATGGTATTATTTATTCATCTTTTCAAATTAGGAATTTGAGTCTCACCTTTATATATATATATATATGAATCAAATGGAAGCTGAAGAGTGAAATGATTGTTGAAGATGAAACTGCGAGCATAGCAAGTATTTCTCTGGAAAATGATTTACAATTATTCACTTGTTACATTCATTTCTCCTTGATCTGGGGGAAGGATAAAAGCCAAGACAAGATTATGATCCAAAGAATTTTTTTTAAAAATGGCAATTGCTGATTGGTAAATAATCATTACTTTTGAATAATACAAGAAGTACCATCTTAGATGGACAGACAGTCACTAACATTGATATGAACTTAACATTTTATTATATTATAATTTTACAGATTGTACTTTTAGAATCAGATTACATTAGATCTTCCAGAATCCTGGTATCATGTAAATGTGTGGAAATGCATTGATATGTTTTTTGTGGTCAGGTATGAGGTTTCTGGTTGAAACTACTTCTCTCTTAGTAGCTGAAATTGCTGAATTTATAGGCCTAAACTATTTTTTATTAATAACTGAAAATGGGCGAAACTATTTTTAAATTATTTAAATTAAAATAGGTTGATTGTATAGTACATTTTTATAAAAAATATCAAGAAGACCAAACTATTTTTAAAGCTACTCCCTTTCAAAAATAGTTTGGACTAGGAACCTTAATCAGGTATGGATGAATTACAGCAGAAATATGTGGAACCTGTATGCTTATTCACTTATTTACTTTGTCTTTTGCCTTTTCATATGTTTAGAGGAGAGAAATCTGGTATCACAAGTTCTGATCTGAAAGGAAAAATCAATTCAGAACTTTAAGCAACATAGCATAGTTAAAAATCCTTTTATGGATAGATCTGCATTACACACATTTAATAAACATTTCAAGAAAAAAATCTACAATTTATATGTAAAGAGTACTGTAAAATCGAAAAAGTACCACTTAGAAAAGTAGTGCTGCACACACTAACCAACACCATTTCAAACTTTGCAAAATAATCCTATTTTTATTTTTACCTTAAGATCAAGTTTGAGTTTTGACTTTTATTAGTACAAAAGTTTACCATAAATTTCATTTATTTCAGTCATAACACCCAAATTTGTTGATAATCTACATACTCAAATGTGCATCAAAAATCAAAATA